TCCCCCTCTCCCATGTCCCCCCGGAACTGTCAGTCCCGTTGTTTTCTCCTCCAGATTGTTCATCCAGCCTGTCCTATCCAGACAGGCCTGCAGCCCCCGCCTTCTATGCTCCTCCTGAGGACGCTCATCCTCCGTAACCACAACTCTGTGCTGCCAGCCTTCTGGTCCACTGGCTCACCTCCCCGGCCCTCCCTCCCTTGGCGACTATCTGTCCTTCTGTAAATTGGCTCACTTCACTCAGCTTCAAGGTCCGCAGGCCCATCCACCTCATGAGGCCCTCCGTGTTTTCCATCATTGTGTTTTAAGTGCTCCCCGGTATGCAGGGACCAAAGTTTCTTATCCGCTCTCCGTGAGGGGCTTTGGGGCTGTTCCCCCCTGCGTGCTGCTGGGAGCAGAGCTGTGCATATGTCTGTTCGTGTTCTGGCTCTCGCTGGGACCCGTGTGTCCTGACAACAACGTCCAGAGCCTCACCATCCTCCCTTCTACAGCCACCAGCATGCTCCGCACGCCCACCCTTGGGGCAGGATGGTTCTTTGCAGGGGAGGCTGTCCTGGGTGCTGCGGCATGCCTAGTCATGACCGACTAGATACTGGTCCCCCATCCACCGCCCACCACCCCCAACTGTTTAAAACAACCAAAAATGTCTCCAAACCCCAGCAGATACGTGATCCAGGCACAGTGGAGCATGGTCTACAAGCCCGGCCCCAGCCAAGGGAATGCCTACGTGAAATATTAACTAGCCCATGACAACCACAAGCGAGTTTGACAGCTCAGACCGTCTCAGACCGTCTGGACGACACGGCCTCACCTCGTTCGGCTCTGCTGTGGGAGCCCTGGTGGCCAAGTGGGTGGTGTGGGGAGCTCACCGCAAGGTCGGCAGTCGGAAACCGTCAACCGCTCCCCAGGAGAGAGATGAGGTTTTCTGCCCCCATAGAGACCAACGGACTCGGAAACCCGCCAGGGCAGTTCTGTTCTACCCGTATGGGCCGCTGTGAATCGGAACGGAATTGATGGCAATGAGTTTGCTGGGAGTCCGGGGAAGCAGCTCTGAGAATCCCCTTCCAACCATCAAAACCATTAACCCCCGCCCCCCAGGTTCCAGAAGGCCGGTGGCCCTTCCCGCCCACCCCCAAATACACACACCGTTCTTACTGCTCATGCCTGGGTAGGGGGGTCCCATGCACCCTCCACATGTGCTTTCAATCCACTCGATGGAACTGCAGCCCTGCCTAGTCTCCTGAGGTGGTGAGTTCAGATTCAAGCTCCACTTGAATTATTCTAACTTTAGAACCTCCTGTTGGCTACTGGCTACTTTAAAAATCAGAAGGAACGTGACAGTTGTCCCTCACAGGGTCACCATGGTTCAAGACAGACTCAAGGGCACCAAACAGCAACACAGCTAAACGGAGGTGACACGGGAATTGGTCTAATGTTTGCTTTGGGTTTGTTGATGTTTTTAGGGAATCCACCAAAAATCACATAGCTTAATGCTCAGAAATTCACAGTCCGGTGCTCCTTTCATTGTGTTTTGGCTTTTTACTCCAGAGAACTTGCAATGGTTTCTAATTTTTTTTAAAAATTGTTTTTAACGTGTGTGATAGGGTTTTTTGGTGCCAACGTGGCTCCCACAGCAACATGTGGGAGCCGTTTAGCCTGTCAATCAGGTCACAGCTTGATTAGAGGACTACCCATATAAATGGCTCTCAGGAGGGGGGCCACCCTCTCTCTCTCTGCTTCCTGTTGACGAGCCACGTGGAGCCACACTGAGACCTAAAAGAGCCCTGGAGATCGTCTACCACCACTAGATCCAAAACTTTGCACCCACTGGCCCATGGTCTTCCTGCACTTTGCATCATTTGCATGTGCTACATGAGTTTGAATAGGGATTTATGGACTAGTATCAGACTTATGGGCTAATATCGGGCTTATGGACTTGATCTGGACTGGGCTGGGATGTTTTCTTACTATGCAATTACTCTTGGATATAAAGTTCTTTCTTATACATTTATGAGTGTCTCTGGATTTGTTCCTCTAGCCAACCCGGTCTAACACACCTTGTTGATGTTGGTGTGTACCATCAAATCCATTCCAACTCTCCACAGTAACCCTGCAAGACCAGGTAGAACTGCCTCAGAGGGCTTCCAAGACTGCATTGTTTTTTGTTTGTTTGGTAATCATTTTATCCGGGGCTCGTACAATTCTTATCACAGTCCATATACCCTCCATCGTGTCAAGCACATTTGTACATTCGTTGCCATCGTCATTCTCAAAACATTTGTTTTCTACTTGAGCCCTGGTATCAGCTCCTTTTTCCCCACCCATCCTGCTCCCCGCTCCCTCATAAACCCTTGATAATTTATAAATTATTATTTTGTGATATCTTACACTGTCCGACATCTCCCTTCACCCGCTTTTCTGTTGCCCATCCCCCAGGGACGGGGTTATATGTAAATCCTTATAATCTGTTCCCCCTTTCCAACCCACCCTCCCTCCACCCTCCCGGTATCACCACTCTCACCACTGGTCCTGAAGGGATCATCCATCCTGGATTCCCTGAGTTTCCAGTTCCTATCTGTACCAGTGTACATCCTCTGGTCTAGCCAGATTTGTAAGGTAGAATTGGGATCATGATAGTGGCTGTGGGAGGAAGCATTTAAGAAGTATAGGAAAGTTGTATGTTTCATTGTTGCTACACTGCACCCTGACTGGCTCATCTCCTCCCCGGGAACCTTCTGTAAGAGGATGTCCAGTTGCCTACAGATGGGCTTTGGGTCCACACTCCGCACTCCCTCTCATTCACAATGATACGATTTTTTGTTCTTTAATGTCTGATACCTGATCCCTTTGACACCTCGTGATCGCACAGGCTGGTGTGCTTCTTCCATGTGGGCTTTGTTGCTTCTCAGCTAGATGGCCACTTGTTTACCTTCCAAGGCTGCATTCTTTATGGTTGCAGACAGCCTCATCTTTCTCCAGAGGAGCGGCTAGTGGATTTAAACCACCAACCTTTCAGACAGCACAAGGGTTTGATTCCCACGATTACTCAAAAATTACATACATAATAACTAAGCTGTGTGCTATGTTTTTAGCATGTTGCTACCTACAAGTTATATCCAACACATGCACACACACACACAAACTCAATTAAGTTCTTCCACAGTCAAAAATGTTTACGTAATTCCCCAGTACTAAAAATATTTTTATCCTCAAGCAATTTACATTTTCTGCTAAGAAATCTATTATTGATTTCTTTATCACATTCCTCTGCAGTGAAAACATCTATAGACATTTCAATTTCATCTTCTAAAAATTCCCTTTGAGGCTGCCTAGGGCTTTAAATGCTTAAATAACAGTTTCCCAGATTGAGTTATCGCTCGCTACAACTATTAGCGGCGGAAGACAGATTCAAAACAAGAACAGCATAGTATGCGCTTTTATAATTATTAGACATAAAAAGTCCAGCCTTCTTGGCTGTGCAGTTTATATAAAGGGTGAAACTTTTTCTTGTTTTGGCCTTTATTTTTACCAGGCCATTTATATTACTGATGGATAAATACTAGTCATGACTAGGATAAGACAAAAGGGCCCTGGTGGTGCCATTGGTTAAGCCTGGGGCCGCTAACCACAAGGCTGGTGGTTCAAGCCCCCAGGCCACTCCAGGGAGAAAGATGAGGCTCTCTGCTCCATAAAGATTTACAGTCTCAGAAACCCCCGGGAGCAGGGCTTCCCTGTCCTCCGGGCTCACTGTGTCCGCAATGAGCTTTTAGGATAAGATACACGTGAACCTCAACTTTATTCCTGCTTTTCTCTTTTGAAACCGAAGCAACGGGAAATGAGATTGCGCAACTAAGGAGGTGAAATGGAAAGGTGCTTTGTCCCAATAGGGTCACGTCGCTCTTCGAAGTCTTTCCAAACGGCAAGATGGACCGAGAGGAGTCCGCCTTGGAAAATTCCTTTCAGGGTCTCCCCAAGGATAACTCGATTATCCTTCCGAGGACAAGGCAGTATCTGAATTGCTGAAGGTTTGGGGCCTGGAAGTCAGTCTTGTTTTCCCCGCCCAGCGTCAACCCCTCAGAACTTCGCATCAGTGAGCGGAGGCCTGGCTCCCCAGAGGCAAGGTGACAAGAATCGACTCTGGCGGCAGCTCCCACGAGTCCTCACTGCCATCGACTCATAGTGACCCCACAGCACAGAGCAGAACAATCCTTGTGGGTTCCTGAGGCGGTAACTCTTTAAGGGAGTAGAAAGTCCTGTCTTTCTCAGAGCGGCTGCTGGTTTTGAACTGCTGACCTTGTGGCTAGCAGACCAAAATGTTAACCACTACTGGCTGCGCTAAGGGAGAAAGATTGGGTTTTCTACTCCCTTAGAGCCTTACTCTTGGAAGCTCACAGGGGGTTTCCTACCCTGCCCTACGGGGTCGCTGTGAGTCGCAATCGACTTGATAGCAGTGCATTTGGATTAGGGGGGCTTGGCCACCGAGCCCTCATGGCGGAGGTCGGCATTTCAAGACCAGCAGTCGCTCCTTGAGAGAAAAAGGAGGCTTTCTACTCCCAGAAAGAGTTACCGTTTCGGAAACCCCTGAGGCGGTCCTACCCAGTCGGGAAGGCCCAGTGAGTCGGGGTCAGTTCCGTGGCAGAGACAGATTGGAGGCAGCAGTCAAATAAGGCCCCACCTCCGTGTCGAGAGAGGCAGGGCCACTAAACAACGTGGGGAAGGAGCCGTAGCACATGGATGCCTCCAGGCCACTCAGGGACACGGAGCCGCCGAAGCCTTAGGGGATACATGTCTGCAGATGCACGCCTGCGTCTGCAGGCCTCGGGCCTGCTGCTACTCACCCCGGCAGCAAAGCCCAGACTTCCATCCAAGATCCGCCTCTGGAAAGGACAAGAAAAGGAGACATTTCAGCGCTTAAAGGCCAACATGTTTCTTCAAAGAGCATCACACAACTAAAGCCTGTCCCGGGATCCTGACCCCAGATAACACCTCCGCCCAAGCCTTTTAAAAATGGCCCCGAACCTTCTGGGGGAGCCCCCCCCCCACAGCCCTTCGGGGTTCCTTCCCTATGGCGCTTGGCTAGCACGGGCCTGAGTCCTTGGCTGGGCTCCTAGCTGTTCCTCTTCAGTGTGTCCTCGCCCTAACGCACAGGGACCAGCAAGGGTGGGTGGGTGGGGTGGAGTGGCATTCCTCGATAGGGGTCTGTTACCGCAGCCTCTGCAACTCCCACCAAATGACTGGGTAGGGCGATGCAAATAGGAGCGAGCCCGGGTGGCATAGTCGCTACAGGGTGGGCTGCCCACCGCAAGGTCAGCAGTTCAAAACCACCAGCGGCTCTCTCTCTGGGGAAAAGGGAGGCTTTCTACTCCCATGCAGAGTTCAGGTCTGGGAAACCCACAGGGGCAGTGCTACCCTGTCCTCTGGACTCGCTGTGAGTCAGAGTCAACTCAACGGCCGTGAGCGAGTGTAACATTAGGAGAGGGGACTGGTCCAGGGCTACGTGTGAGGAGGGGCCGCCGCTGAAGCTGGGCCGCAGAGAGCAGCCCCTGAGACCTGGGAAGAAAGAGTGCATGCACAGCCGGCCTCCGTCTGATGTGGGAGGTCGCCAGGACCACAGGCACCACCGACTGTGACGGAGACTCCGAGGGGCAGCACCGTGGCCTTATCTGGCCAAAGACCGTGGGACACAGGAGCAGGCCCATGGCCATCCTGGCCCATGGAGCCCACGTGGCTGAGAGACTGAGGATGAGAGAGTGGGCGACCACGTGGCTGAGAGGCTGAGGATGAGAGAGTGGGCGACCACGTGGCTGAGAGGCTGAAGATGAGAGAGTGGGCGACCACGTGGCTGAGAGACTGAGGACGAGAGAGTGGGCGACCACGTGGCTGAGAGGCTGAGGATGAGAGAGTGGGCGACCACGTGGCTGAGAGGCTGAGGATGAGAGAGTGGGCGACCACGTGGCTGAGAGGCTGAGGACCGGAGAGAGAGACACCCCGCGGGCTGAGGGACCAGTGACTATGTGCTGACTGTCTGCTGGTCCCCACTTGGGGTAACCTACTGACTAGCCTCCATTGTGAGCATCGTCTGGCTGGCCAGGGCAGCGAATGATGGACCCGGAGTAGCTGCAGAGCTGCCTGGGAGGAGCGGTTGAGGTCAGAGCAGGGAAAGAAGGATGGAACGTGGAGGCTCCTGTGTTCCCTGCCTCGTGGCACGAGGGAAGCCAGAGGAGGTCACCTATGTCCCTCTGCACAGCCAGCACCTAAGCCCGCACTCATGGCAGGTGGGTGTGGCCAGTGGCTTCAGGAAGCCACCCAGCAGATGGCCTCCCTGAAGGCACAGGTGTGAGAGCCACACCCAGGAAGACCCCAATGCTCAGGAGGAGTAGGGTGCAGCCGCCCACGAGACCAGGGCTCGTGACACACTGCGGCTCTCGCCCATAGGCCCCACTCTTTCGATGGCTCCAGAGCAAAATTGAAAATGTTTAAAACAGTGGTTCTCAATCTTCCTAATGCCACAACACTTTCATACAGTTCCTCATGTTGTGGTGACCTCCCAACCATAAAATTATTTTCTTTTGTGTATGTGTGATTGTGTGTGTGTGTTTAAATTTTTAATCATTTTATTAGGGGCTTGTACAACTCATCACAATCCATACATACCTCCATTGTATCAAGCACATTTGTTGCCATAATCATTCTCAAAATATTTTTTTTTCTACTTGAGCCCTTGATATCAGCTCATTTTTCCCCTCCCCTCTCCACCCCCACCTCCCTCACTTGTTTATCTTCAAGCCTTTAAGACCTCCAGATGCTATATCTTTTGATAGCCAGGCACTGTCAACTTTATCCACCACATTTGCTTATGCACTTGCTTTGTCTTCAGCAATCGTGTCGGGAAGGTGAGCATCATGGAATGCCAGGTTAATAGAACAAAGTGTTCTTGCATTGAGGGAGTACTTGAGTAGACACCCAGTGTCCATCTGCTACCTTAATACGACACCTATAAATATATGCACATAGATCTATTTCCCCATAGTCATACATAAATATATTTACATATGTACATGCCTGTATTTAGACCTCTATAAATGCCCTTTGCTCCTAGTGCTTTCCTCTAGTTCCTTTTACTTTCCTCTTGTCTCACTATCATGCTCAGCCTTCATTTGGGTTTCAGTAATTCCTCTTGGTTACAGTGCCCTTGATCAAGCCCTACCAGGCCTCCTACACCCTCCTCGCCATTGATTTTGGATCACTTGTTGCTCCCTTGTCCCTGGGTTTGTTAACACGACTTCCTTTCCCCCACCTCCCCCTCTCCCATGTACCCCCCCGAAACCATCAGTCGGGTTGTTTTCTCCTCCAGACTATTTATACCACCTATCTTATCTAGATAGACCTGCAAATATAATAATATGCACAAAAAACAAGACAGAGCAAAACAAAGCAACAAAAGAAAACAAAACAAAAACATCAAAAAACCAATGACCAAAAAAAAAAGAAAAGCCTGTAAATAGTCCAAGGTCTGTTTGTTGACCTTTAGGAGTGTTTTCCGGTCAAGTCTGATGGGGTGCCATGCCCTGGCCCCAATGTCTATTTTTGGTATTCCCTCGGGACTTCCTTGCTCTGCTCCCCTTGCTGTTCTGTTGCACGCCCTTAGTGTTTTGCCTCGGTGTGGTAGGATCAGATCAGGTGCAATTCCTACTCTGTGTCTCCAGTGTCGTCCCCTATAGGGCTATGGGTCAGTGGAGATGTCCTGTCTCATAGTGGGGCCAGTCATACGGCTCTCTCTGTGCATTGGCTGCTCTGAGTGGGAATATCGTCCTCAAGGCTTGGTGGGCCAGGATGTACTCCACTCTCTCTTCCTCCCCCTTCATTTGCTCCCGTGTGCTCTGATCAGACATGTCCCTCTCCCTGAGCTGTAGCTTCAGTGCTGTCCTCTGAAGTAAATTCTTCTGGGGGAAGGGGGCATAAAATTATTTTCGTTGCTACTTCATAACTGTAATTTTGCTACTGTTATGAATCAGAAGACCCCTGTGAAAGGGATGGTCAACCCCAAAGGGGTCGAGACCCACAGATTAAGAACCTCTGGTTTAAAGGATATTATCCAGATAATGGTGATGTCATTTGCTTGTAAATATATATATATATATATATATATATATATATGATTCATAATTTTGATAAATATATATTTGCAAAATATATATTTTGTAAACAAATGTGAAATTTGCTTGTAAATATATATTATATATATAAATTATTCGAGATCCATATATATATTTGGATCATTTTTAAATTGCTGTGAGGGACAGGGTTGGCTCTTCCATCTCAAAGTCTGCGACCCCTGAACGAGGGTATCCAGCACACATGGCACTGAGAACACCCCACCCCACCCCAATCCCGGGCAGGGGCAGTCAGCAAGGTGGCAAACAAGCAGAGGGAAGAAGCAGGCACAGCACAAAGCAGGGACCCACACTGTTAGACAGGAGAAGGCGGATTCTTCCTGGAGTGGAAGCTGGGCATGGAGGAAGCCGAGCAGCCAGGAGGAGGCTGGGGCAGCAAAGGGGTGGTGGAGGAGGTCAGCACAGCAGGTTAGGTGGGGCAGGAGCGGGGGGAGGGGGGCACACAGCAGGAGGGGGGGCAGTTGGGAAGTTGAACGGTGGAGGATAGTTGGGCAGGGTTGCAGACAGTTAGGTAATGGGGATGTTGTGGGGAGAACTGGGAGGGGGCGGGGTTTGAGGTTGAATGGTAGGGAGAAGTTGAGGGAGGGTGGGGGAAAAACCAGGTAGTGGAATAGTTTGAGGGGCTGTTGAGTGGGGCAGGGGCAGTGGGTAGTTAGGGGAGATTATGGGGTTAGTTAGAAGGGGTGGGGAAAGTTGGGTAGCGCTGAGATTTGGAAAGAGGAGAGTTGAATGGGGATTAAATAGGCTGGTTCAACACTGGGGAACACTGGGGAGTGGGAGAGGCTGGGTGGTAGTGGGAAGTTGGGCTGGGTGGGGAAAGCTGGGTGCTGGGGCAGTTGAAGAAGGAAGTTGGGCAGGAGTGGGGAAAGATGGTTAGCAGGGGTGGTTGGGTGGTGGGGGGAAGCTGACATGCGAGTGGGGAACACTGGGTAATGGGGAAGGTTGGGTGATGGGTGAAAGTGGGTGGGGTAGGGGAAATAGGATACTGAGTGGGATGGAGGGAGGAAGTTGGGTAGTAGGGGAGGAAGCATGGCAGGAGTTAGGCAGGGGAGAGAAATTGGGAGGGGGTTAGGTGGGGCTGGAGTGTGGGCTCTGTGGGGAGTGGGGCAGCGAGGCGAGTCTGAAGCAGCCGATGGGGTGCGGATAGCAGTCCGGTATGGAATCTGATGCTGGTTGTGCCAGCCCTTCTGTAAAGGCCTCAAGCTGCCCTCATGGGTTCCCAAGACCATGGAGCTGCTGGTGGTTTCGAACTGCCGACCTAACAGCGGCCCAAGGTGCAACTGGGCAATGGCTCCCACATGTTTCCACACACACCATCGATTCCAACACGTCTGTAAAGAATCTTTATAGACACGTCCTAGCTGAGCCACCAACCTACAGCCCTGGAGACTCCCCAGTGCCCAAGCTGCTGGCTCCACCGCTCAGGCATTGCCAGCCACCAGCAGCCTCGGCTCCGAGTGGCCCCCAAGAAGGACAGGAGGTGCTGTCCCTGGGGAATGGGCTACCCAGACAACACCCTTCTCCAGGTGGGCTAGGACACAAACTCAGCATCTACCCAACGCCTCCGATCTAACCAGACACACACAATGAAGAATTCTGGGGAAATCACCCTAATCAAATCCACCTGGGGCCTGGGAGCGGGGAAATGCAACCTGCTTGTTTAAGCGGATCACTCTGATGTTCCATTTTTAGATATTCAGCTCAGGGGACAAATCAGGTGCTGACATAAGAGCAGGAAATAAAAACACAAACTCTGCCATCGAGTCGATGCTGACACATAGCGACCCCCTGCGGGTTTCCGAGACGGTCACTGTTTAAGGGAAGAGAAAGCCCAGTCTTGCTCTGGAGTTGCTGGTGGCTTCAAACTGCTGACCATGCGGATGGCAGCCCAACGCGCAACCAGCACACCTGCAGGGCTCCTTAGGAAACGTGGTTGTTACAAAAATCCATTGTCATTTTGAGACTTAAAAGTGGAGGGGTGGAGTTCAGCCCGTCAATCAGGTAGCAGCTTGATGACCTCATTTGGAGGCACTAAGGAGATAAAATAGCTCAGTGGGTGCCGGACATAGGCTCACTCCCTGCAAGACATCCTTGTAGTTAAGCCCTATGGAGCTTTGCGGATGGAGCCAGAGCTCTGGAGCCGGAGGAGCCACAAGGGGATAGACACACACCAGCACTGAGATGCTTCCACTGCCACTGGTCTGTGATCTCCCTGCATTCAGTGTCATCGCATGTGTTTCATGAGTTTGAAGAGTTATTTATAGACTGGTATTGGGCAAATGGGCTAATAACAGACTTGGGACTTGACCTGGACTGGGCTGGGATGTTTTCTCAATATTCAATTGCTCTTGTATATAAAGCTCTTTCTTAAACACATATGCGTGTCTATAAATGTGTTTCTCTGGTCTACCCAGAATAACACAGGAAATAAGAAGGTAGCCTAATTGTCCATCCCCTGGGGAGGTCTCGGGAAGAGTGGGGCAGCCCCACGATGTGGGATGAAGTAGCCATTTAAGTCCTGTCCTCGGGAAAAACCGGGCGGTGGGCCTGGGGGCTCCCTGCCTGCCTACAGATGGAGACGGGTCTAGAGCGAACGGGTGGAGACAGAAGAGCAGATCCTGCCCCTCACAAGGTAAACATTCTTCGAGAGCCACAAATACTTCTACAAATAAGTGAAATCACTTCTATCTGAATGACAGCCATTAAAAGGGTTCCATTTTGCCTCGGAGCCACGTGGACAGACCGATAGAGCCGCAGTCTGCTGATCCCCAGTCTAACCTGCTCCTCGGACTGACCTGGGGGTTTACAGCAGAGCTGGACAAGCCAGGAGTGGGCGCCCAGTCATGACGACCCCGGTGGGGGAGGGGGTGTCAGAGTAGCATGAAACTGCCCCCACGTTTCCACGGCTGATCTTATGGAGGAGATTCCCAGGCCTTTCTCCTGAAGCACCTGGATGGGCTCGAACCGCCAGTCTTTCGGTTAGCAGCAGGGCATGTGAAACTGTTGACAATGGCCGGGGACACCCGGTGACCACATGCATCCTGATGAGCAGGGAGTCCCCACCCACGGGGCTTCTGAATCCCACTCACAGCCCCCCAACCCCAGCCACGGCCTCTCGGCGCATTTGAAGCCGGTGAGGACAGAACCTGAGGCCACTCTGCTCCGGACCCTGGCTGAAAGGCACCAGGGCCCCGGGCTTCAAGGGGTGGGGCTGGGGTGGCGAGGTGACCGCCTGCCCTCTGCTCCGTGTCCTGAGTGTCTCTTGTTCAGGGGCTGTGCTTCGAAAGATTTCTCTCCGTGGCCACAGCCACACCTGGCTTGTGTGCCCCCACATCCCCAGGAGGCTCTCAGCACCCGGATGACCGGTCTATCCCGAGCAACCCAGAGGACGTGGCTCGCTGGCCTAGGCGTGCTCCAGTAGGGGCAGAGGTTCACAACAACCCATGGGCATTGCCCTGGTGGCGCAGGAGGCTGAGAGCTGGGCTGCTAACTGGAAGGTCGTCGGTTCAATGCGTCTGCCCCCCTCCCTCAGGTACCCAGAGCAGGTGCTCTGTCCAGCCCTGTGCATTGAGCGGGGTCAGGGGTGCGAACATCATGAGCTTCAGGTGCATGGGAATGGGGTGTGGGGAGACTATGACCTTGTGGTGGGCGGGGGGAGTTGAGGGGGTTATGCATTCAGTGCACATGTGGCAGGGAGCTAAAGGGGGCTATGGAAGAAGGGAGGGTGTGTGGGAGGTGGGGGTGGGTACACATACCTACACGGAAATATGGAGGGTGGGTGTGATGCGTAGGAGTGTGGGGAATGCAGGGGCGTGGGGGCACCCACAGTGCAGGTGAGGGAGTATGGCGCCTGGCAGGGTTCGGGAGTGGGTCATATGGAGGATGGAGATGAGGGTGGTGTGGTAGATGTGGGGGGTGGAGACGTAGGGGGAGAGAGGAGTGTAAAGGAGAGGTGGGAGATGTGGGGGGTAGGTGAGGCTGTAAGGCCGTGGGGTGAGTGAGGGGCTGGGTAGGTGCATGAGGGATGAGCAGGTGGCAAGTCTGGGGAGGGGGGGTGGCCAGGGAGTAGGCCTAGGTACAGAAACCCCAAATTGGGGGTGGATGTTGAAAAGCCCACCTGGAGAAACACAAGGCTTTCTGCTCCTGTAAAGACTGTCTCAGAAACACCTGAGGCCATTCTACTCTGTCCCAGAGGGCTGCTGGAAGCGGGCATCGGCCAGAGGGCAGAGAGGACGAAAGACGCAAAGAGAGAGTGGACGGGGACCCTGCCTCTTCCCTGAGGTCTTGTCAGTCACCCCAAAGAGCAGGTCCCTGTCCTCAGGGTGTGACTGAGAGTGGACACACACACACAGAGACAGGACACACACAGAGAGACAAGACACACATACACAGGACACACACAGAGACAGACAAGACACACACACACATATATACAGAGACGGACCCACAAGGCAGCAGATGTCATGAAGGCAGCCCAATTCTGTTTCAGGGCCCAGACGGATGCCCCAGCTTGCCCGGAGTCCCAGGAGTGAATGCCCAGAACCCGACAGGCCAACTCACCTGTCCACTAGAGAAGATGAACACCAGGGCCGCCCCAGCCGCTGTCATCCCCCAGGTGAAGAAGGTCCCCAGCAAGGCCTGGAGCACCGCGCTCTGGCCTCGCAGCATCCTGGTTACCGCTGCAATCAGAGGAGAGAGGAGGGTCAGCCCGGCTCACACCTGCTATGACAGTTCTACCACGTGCACCTGAGCTGGCCTGGCTCAGGTTCAGTGGGGCTGGCTTGTCCTGGGAGAGGCACCTTCCTGCCATCGTCCCAACACAGCTCAGTAGGCCCAGAGTTCAGGCGCCTACCCCCGATTCTTCATTCAGGTGGGCCCCAGTGTCAGAAATCATGCAACTCTCAAAGGAGCGGGGCCAGCAGAGCCCAGGAACGGGGTTACAACATTGGGAAAGGACTCCAAAGGGAAGCTCTCAAGGAGGTGTCTGTCACCTGGACAGCAGGAGCCCAGGAGGGTCTGACGGTCCACTTTGCCTGGCCCACCTGGCCTGGCCGGTCGCCTGTGCTTTCTGTGGCCTCTGAAGGCAGATGATTAGCTTACAGGCATTCCCAGCTTCAATAGCTTCCTGTGTCACTCCCTGAGCCCACCAGAGGATGGACCACATGCACTGACCTTCAATCCCCACCTACTTCTAAGTCCCATACCCCACTACACCCAGGGTGGTCACCACCCTCCAGCTCAATCCAATAGCCTGCGCTCCTTCCAGAAGCCCCAGGTGGATAGCGGACGGCAGGTGGCGGATGGGCCTGCCCCCACAAGCAGACACAGGTTTGGTAAAGGAAATCTCTCCCCAAGCATTTGTACGTAGCACAAACCCTCAAATGTCCGAGTCTGGGGGTAGCACACAAGGGGCAAGTTACACAAGCCTCTGGGCCATCCCCACACGTCTTGAGCGTCTGAGTCACTGGGCTTGGTGGCTCAGGACCACAGTCTCAGGAGACAGCGAGGCCACCGGGTGCAACAAAGCCGCCAAGACCATGGTCTACTTCCTACTTTGGCAAGTAGTGGATCTCATGACTCACAGCCTCCACCAGCCTGAGCCCAGAGGGGCTAGACGGTGCCCGGCTACCACAGCCACCGCCCTGGCAAGGAGGATCACAGTAGAAGGTCCTGAACAGTGCGGGAGAAAAGGGTAGAACAAGTCCAAGAACCTAAGACCAGACGTGCTGCTTGGATAAAACTAGAGGAACACCCCAGAGTATGGCCCTTAGACGCCCCTCAAAGCTGGAACTGAGCCCACCCCTAGAGATCGCCTTTCAGACAACCAGGTGCTGTCCGGTCGGTTCTGACTCCTAGCAACCTGAGTGCAACAGAACCAAGGGCAGTCCTAGGAGGTGAGTGCCCAGACCTGGGGGGAGCGCACTTCTCGGAACCATTCCAGACAAGAGGGCAGCATTCGCTGCAAAACAAAGCCCAGGTGGGCGGGAAGGCATGGGAAAGCTGGGGCACCCAGGAAGGAGGTGGCCGGTGACATCGCCGTGACTGTGGCTGATGCCAGGAGACCACACGAGTATAAATGCGTGGAAGGCAGACAACGGTGCTGGGTAAGCTTGCACCCGGGACACGGCACCCTGTGTCCAGATGCAGAAACAGAGAGACGAGTGTGGAAGGAGGGAGGGTTCCCTGCCTGCATTCTTGAGGAATCAAGTGCACCCGGTAACACAGTTTCAGGGCAGGCAGATGGAAACAAATAACCGTGTTTTTCTGAATCGTCCATTTGACTGCCTGGCTCTGCGTGTATATCACATTACCTTCCAGACACACGACCTACTGCCTAAATGAATCCCGTGCATTTAATAAACGGGATGAAAAAGAGGCGGCCTCCCCACACATTCTGCTTGCATGTAGCTGTCCTGATGCCTCTGGAGGCCAAGGACCCTCTAAGTCCACTGTCCCCAGCTCCCTGAGGCTTCCCGACCCTCCCTGCTCCCTGTTCTGGAGCCCAGCTTTGGTGGGTTTCGGGGTGCAGGCTGGCCGCCTACGTCTTTCATCTCATGAGTTGCTTCCGTTTGGGGATGATATACTGTCACTCCTAGCACCTCTGCAAAACAGGCTTGGGGGGCACCCTCTCCCCCAAATACTTAGGGAATTGAAAAGGCGAGCTTACCTGGCTGGGTCACTCAGCCAGGACAAGAACACAGATCCCCACCCCACCTCCCAAAGAGATCCCTGTCCCTGGACACCTCAGCTCACTGCAAATGAGCCTGCAGCAGCACAGTGCCCACCCTAAAGGGGGTGGGGGGTGGGGGTGGGGCAGGTGGTCGGCCTTCCTGTGACTTGACCCCACTGAGACCCCTCGTTCAGAAGACACGGGTGTCAGGCCACTGGCTGTGGAAAATTACCAGGTAGAGGGGCCTTTGTGAGCACCTTGTGTTCTGGGACACGAACATAGGCCTCATTCAGCTCCACGCTGGCCTTCAGCGCCCACAGGGCTGGACACGACCCCACTGGGCTCAGCCCTGCCATTTCCAGGTGCAGCCAGCCCTGGGCCTGAAGATCCACAGTCAAAGGCGTGGCCTCTCCCTGGGGACCGTGAAAGGACTCTGCGCCCCAGGGGGCTAAAGGGCTGGACCACTCAGCCGTGAGTCAAACCTAGGAAGGCCAGGAGTCCAGGTGAGTCTGATGAGCCTGGAAAACCCAATGATGGCCCAGGTGAGCTCAGGTGAAACCAGCTTGTCCCAGAGCCTGGAAACCCCTCAGAGAAACAGCACCTACGGATGGATTCCAGCCGTATCACCACCATCCAAACAGAACTCAAGCGAGGGGGCTTGCACTTAGGTTTCGAATGCAAACATCACAATCATTCCACCAATTGCCTCGTTCTAGCTGCTGGTGGATAAAATTTCCAACGGCATTTGCCAAAGCAGGCACTCAGCAAAGAGAGGCCCACCGTCGCCGGCACCCTTTAAAAGCATCCTTTTCGTCCCCCGCGTTGTTTTCCGGTAGGGAGGGTGCCTTCTAACAGCTGCGGAGAAAGCAAACCATCTAGAGGCCAGCAGGCCAACTTCCCTGCTTTCTGTGTTCCTGGTGGGCCGCCGCAGGAACATGGCAGCCTTCTCAGCCTGCCTTAGGAGGAGCCCTGGCAGTGGGGAGGTTAAGCACTCAGCTGCGAGCCGAGCCTCGGGTGGAGGAAGGTAGACACGGCAGTTCTACTCTGTCTTATAGGTTGGCTCTGAGTGGGACTCGTCTGTGTCACACACACAACACACCTGCCCCCATTCCGACCCGAAACCCACTGGCATCGAAAGATTCCTACTCATCAGGATCCTATAGAACTCGGGAGAACTGCTCTGGGAGACTTGGCGGAGCAGGCAGCTTCAGCTTGCTTTTTGTTCTGATGACGATGATTGAGTGATTGGTCTATAGTACCTAAATACTTTTTTCTACTTTTAAATACTGGTTTTAATCTTGCGGCTGCAACGTGGAAGAGGCAACTTTCTTCTTTCTAAACACCAGCCCCCGATCACAGAGCCATCACACGCTACACGCTCCCCGACGGGCACTTTCAGGTGATGGAGGTTCTCGGGGTGCATAGATGAGCAGTGAGAACCACCCAAGCACATCGTCTGTACAACTCTGACTAAGTCCTGCTGAGAGGCGCTTCACCGGGCAATCAACTTCACCTTGTTTACAATCCGCGCTCCTCAAAGGGGCGAGGCAGCTGGTGGTGCAGTGGCTAAGCGTCCAGCTGCTAGCCAGGCAGAAAAGTGTGGGCAGTCTACTTCCACAGGAATGCGCTGTCTTGGAGACACCACGTGGAAGTTCAACTCCGTTCCCTAGGGCACTGGCGCAGTGAAGCACTCGGCTGCTAACCGGAAGGTCAGTGCATCGAACCTACCCGGTGCTCTGTGGGAGGAAGGCAAGGCGTCCGCTTCATAGACCTGGGAAACCCACAGGGGCCGTTCTACTCTGTCCTAAAGGGTCACTGTGAGTTGGAATCGACTCATGGCAGTGTGTTTGGGGACTCCAAGGACAGAGTCCCTTGGTGGTGCAGTTAAGGGGTGAGGTGACGAGCTCAAAGGCTGGAGGTTTAAGCCCACCCGAGGGGCCTCGGAAGAATGGCCTGGCCATTGAGAACCAACAGAGCACAGTCCCACTCTGACCCACGTGGAGCCACCGTGAGTCTGAAGCCACTTGACAGCCATGGGTTATCTTGGTTTGAAGAAATGAGGGCCCACCCCACGCCCAGCCCCAGAACCAGCACTCAGAGAGGGGTCCCGGGGCCAGCAGCACTCGGTCGAAATGCAGAAACTCAGGTCCCTCCCAGGCTTGCCAAACCAGAATCTGCACCTGATCAAACTCTGGGTGGGGAGAGGGAGGTGCTTTTACGGCCCGTGAAGTTTAAAAACCCTCAAATCTCAATACTGCTGAGTCGCTTCTGACTCAGTGGCCCTGTGGGACCAGGTAGCTCAGTCCCCTGTGGGCTGCCGAGAGGGTACATCCTTACGGGAGTAGAAGACTTCCTCTTTCCTCCCGAGAAGCAGTTTGTAACTTCGAACTGCTGACCTTGTGGTTAGCAGCCCCACGCGTAAACCGCTACGCCACCAGGGCTCTCTGAAAGGCACGTGAAGCACTGGTCTGAAATTGGGCCTGCTTCCACGGCGCCGTGGCTCCCAGCCCCAGGACCTCGGCAGGGGCTTCTCCTGCCTTAGGAGTGATTGGTGGGGCCGAGCTGGAGTCCAGGGGACCGGAAAGGTTTCTTCGCCAAGTAGACCAAGTAAGAGCGAGGAGGGCGGAGGGCCAGCCAAGGTGTGCCAAAACCAACTCTCGCAGCCGCGTGCCAACTTCCTCAGGGGTTGGGCAAGGCCAAGACCACAGCAAGCCTCCCTCGGTCGCCTGGCAGAACGGGCTGTTCTCCGTCCGCCCACGTGACAGATGCCAACACAGTCCCAGGCGTGTCACCTCCAGCACCGTGGAGGCCTTTCCGGTGGGCAGGGATCTCCTTTTGTTTCGTCCCTCTCCTGGGTCAGCCTGTGGCTCTCCCTCCAAAAGTCGGTTTCCAGCCAGCCAGCTGGTCAAGTTGCAAAAGTGGGATGGGCACCTGAGCTGGAATGCCCACCGTGTCGTGCTTCCCCCCAAGGGAGTCCAGCCACAGGGATTTGGAGAGATGCAAAGCTGTCTAACATGTCCATACTCAAAGTGGGGCTGCGGACCAGCAGACCCCATGGGATGGGATAGTAGGATGGCACACCCTGTCCCCCACCAGATTTGCTGAATCAGAGGCTGCCTTTTCCCACGGCTCCCAGTGGTGGTGGGTGGTCCGGCTCTAGAGGAGACCCGGTTGTAGCCACCGCCTCAGGGATCCTGGGTCCCACACACCCACGCCAGTCAATGAATGAGAAGGGCCTTGGATTGAATCAATGAAGGAAAGAGTCGCTGCAGAAGGACGGCGGGCCACGCCCTGCGGCCGGGCGAGGAGTCCCCGGCCCAACCCCCAAGACCCCCTCGTCCCTGCTGCACACCTGCGGCCGGCGGCCCGCCGCTCCTCCACCCCGCGGGCTCCCGGGGGGCCCCTGCCACGAGGAGGGCCACGTCCCGCCCCTCCCACCCCTCCCACCCCCGGCGCGCCTGCAGAGAGCCGACTCACTCGCGTGCTTTCTGCAGCCCCGTCCGCACGGCCATCAGCCCGCGGCGCGCCCCGGCCGGCTCGGCGGTCACTTCCTGCTTCCCTCCGCACACGTGTCCCTCCGGCGCCCGGCCCCTCCTCGCAGGGCTGTCCCCGCCCGCGCGGGCGCGCACGCCCCGCCGTCAACTCTGCGGTTCACCGTCCGCCGCCGGCTCGGGGAGCGCCCGCGCGGGCGGGCCGAACAGGCCACCTGCGCTCCGTGCTGGCCGCCTCCGAGCGCAGGCAGCCCTGGGTCCCTTTAGGTAAGCCACGGACGGTGCAGGAAGGAGCCCGCGGGGAAACACCTGATGCGCTTTCTGTGACCAGACTGAAAAAAGGGGTGGGGGCACACCAACTCACTGCCACTGAGTCACTCGCAGGGACCCCAGAGGACAGGGTAGAACGGGCGGCCCTGTAGGTGTCAGAGGCTGTGCATCTGTACAGGAATAGACGGCTCCGTCAGCAAGGCAGCTGGTGGTTTTGAGCTGCTGCCCTAGAAGTGTACAGCCCAACACAGTGCGCACTAGGCCACCAGCGCTCAGGCCAGTACCCTGGGCAGCACCAGGCAACATCATCATGCACCTCTAGACCTTCTATAAGGGGTCTCTGCGTCAGGAGGAGGCTAAGGTTTCCTGGTGGCAGTGGCTGCTGAGACTGGGTGAAGCACTGGGCACTTTAGTGGCAGAATCAGGTCCATTGCCTGCCTCTCCAGCCCTCCTACTGATCACTCACTCCCGGGAGAAGTTTCAGGGACAGCCACTCTGAGCCAGGGTGGGCCCTGGGGCCCAGGGACAAACTGAACCGACAGGGTTTGCCTCCCTCATTCTTTTATTCCTGCATTTCTTTTCTTTTCCTTATACTAAAGGCTGCCCTCGACACGCCCTGGGGACTGAGATAATGCCTGCCCCCAGCGTTGGGTGGGAGCAGTTCTTTGCCCTTAGCAAAGTGCAGATAACAAACCCACTCCAACTGGCCCAGGGCCAGAGGGGACTGGTAAGGCTCACAGAGGGGACACTAAACCAGACTCACTGCCATTAAGCTGATTCCGACTCACAGGGGCCTGACAGAGCACAGTGGAACTGCCCCTGTGGGTTTCTGAGACTGGTAAATCTTCACGGGAGCAGAGAGCCTCGTCTTTCTCCCTGGGAGGGCCTGGTGACTTTGCAGTGCTGACCGACATAGCGGTTCACAGCCCAGTGTAGGGGATGGTGTTCCCCCCACCCCCCAACCAGGGCTCCTTTGGCTTTGAAACAAACATAATGTCTGCATGCTGGGCCTGACATTCCAGCTTCTTGCGTTGTGACTTGGGGAGGGGACAACTAGCATCTAGAGGGTAGAAGCCAAGGATGCTACTTAGCACCCTACCAAGCACAGGGCCACTGCACCCTCAAAGAATGACCCAGAAGGAAAAATGGAGAACCCCCATTATAACAAATTCCCCCAGTATAAAGTGAGGGTCAAAATCACTCTGAGAAACATCCTGTGGGATTCCAGAAGCATTTGCCGTCGAACTAGGACAACAACAGCAGCAAACCAGCTCTTGCCCCATAGTGGGCTCTCACGCCTAGCTGTACTTCCGGGCAGTGGAGAGTTGCCCTGTGGGGTTTCCGACAGTGCCCATCTGTCTTTCAGGCTGCCACACCTTTCCCCCGTGGGGTGGGGAGTACATTCGAACCGCCAACCTTATTGGTTAGCAGCTGAGCACTGTGCCACCGGGGCTCCTTAGACATCGGATAACTAGACAGAAAACCCCCCGACGGCTAATTATGAACCCAAGCCTGACTAGGAGATCATAATCGGCAGGGATCGTTGTCTGCAGTTTGCACATTCACTTCAGATACTGCACAGGCTGCTCACGACGAGCCATCTGTAAAGCCAGCCTTCATCCCCCTTCCCCGCAGATATGCCGCTCCCCCAAACCCTTGTGAGGCAAGTACCACTAGGGGGGACCTGGAAAGGACAGAAATACATGTGCTCACAGTGCTGGAGGCTGAGTGTCCAAATTAAGCTCCGCGCCTTTCTGGTCAGAGTTCCTGACGTTCCCCAGATTCTGAATGGTCCAGAGATGCCTGTGCACCTCTGAGTCTCAGCTGCTCTTTTGACAGCTCAGAAGTGATTAGATTTAGAACCCACCCTCCTCTGGCATGCTCCAATTAGCATACCAAAGAAAGTCCACCTCAAAACCGGAATGAGCGCTTTCCACAAACTCATTTCCAAGGAGTGGGTGCCAACGCCCCAGAGGGCAGGCTTGAACTGCCCCTGTGATTTTCCCAGGCTGCCACTGCCTACGGGAGTAGAAGGCTAGTCTTCCTCCCAAGGAGCGCTGGTGGTTTTGAACTGCTGACCTTTCAGATAGGCTCACCGAGCGTTGGAGTCTTCTAGAAGCAAGCAGGGAGAGCCTCCAACCATTTCCTCTCAGGTGGCTCACCGAGTGTCGGTCCAGAGGCTCCAAAAAGCTTTGCCTGCGCACCTTCTCAGCAGGCCTGTTGGAGACAAGGTGTGCTCCTTGCTCCAGGGAAAGGAACGGAGGGGGCCTGTGAGCTCCCACTGTTCCCCGTCCAGAGCCTACAGGCATCGCCTGGGTCCTGGCTGACAACAGTCTCCCGAGAGCAGCCAAGCTCAGGCCCCTACAGGACACGGGTCCTGGGATGGAGCGTGCATACCAGGTGGAGAGGGAGGCTGAGCGACAGCTAGGTAGGTTCCCCTGTAAGCACCGCTGAGAACTTGCCAAAAAGGGGTCTCAGGAAAAAAAGACGGGGGGAATTTAAAAACTAGCAAGTGGGAAATGCCAGGCTGCTGGCTTGTGGGGTTGTAGGATCCCCTCCAAGAGTCCCCAAGACTTCAAGTCGGGCGGCAGACTTTTGTCCCAAGCACCAGAGGTCCAAAGATGACAACTCGGGCATTTGGGCCATCTTTAATCTCCAACTCCATGGGACTCATCTGGTATTAGTTCTTCTAAGAGAACTTATTATCACGCACACCCCACCCCCAAGAAAGTCCTCTGACATCAGACCCCAAAATGGAGGGGAACGACAGAACACCTGTCACAGCCTAGCCACGTTGACACATGGCCGTAACCTTCACGGGGGTGAGCAGAGGTGAGACGGGAGCGAGAGCAAATGTCCAGACCTGAGTCATAAGCTGCCCAGGTGACTCCAGGGGAGACCGCCGCAGAATACTCCAGAAGGTTGGAACTAAGTGTTGGACACCTGGCCAGGTGGGGCCTGGAATTTGAGAGGGAGATGTGCTCCTTCCTAGTGGGAATGTGAAAAGGCAGGGCCACTTCAGCAGTCTCCTTATTTTGGGAGGAGGAGGAAAAGCCCTCTGAGTGGAGTGGGGGGTGTTTTAACATGTCTGGTGTTCCACGGGCTGAGCTCGCAAAAAGTGGTCTTTACCCAACTCACTGCCATTGAGTCAGTCCCAACTCATACTCACCCTATGGGACAGAGTAGAACTGCCCCTGTGGGTTTCCGAGGCTGGAAACCTTTACAGGTGTAGAAAGCCTCATCTCTCTCCTGCCCAATGACTGACTGGTGGCCTCAAACTGCTGCCCTTGCGGTAGGTGGTCCAACACTGACCCAACAGCGCCTCCAGAGCCCCTAGGAGTTCTGCAGGGGCCTAAAAAGATCCTACAAAGGCCCAAGGGATATGGAAGGAGCAGCCATCAGAATTTAGCAGGCAGCGCTTATGGTCTCCAAACTTTCCCAACCGCCCACCCCCCACACCACCCCCACCGCTAAAAAAAACACCTTATTGCCATCAAATTGGCCCTGACTCATTGCAACCCTGTAGGGCAGGGTAGAGCTGACCCAGTGGATCTCTGAGACTGTAATTCTTTATGGGAGTAGAAAGCCCCATCTTCCTCCGAGGAGCAGCTGGTGGTTTCAAACCAGTGACCTTGTACTTGGCAGCCCAACATGTAACCACTATGCCACCAGGGCCCCTCCCAAGCTTTCCAGGGGCCCCTAAAATGCGTCCACCACCCATCTATCAGGAGGCTGTACCACAGTGCTTGTCTGTTGCTGTGAGGCTGGAAGCTATGCCACTAGAGTTTCCAATGCCAGCAGGGTCACTTGTGTGGGTGAGTTTCAGAGGAGTTTCTAGGCTCAGATGGCCTAGGGAGAAAGGGGCAGTGATCTACTTCCAGAAATTAGCCAGTGAACATCCTATGGTCACAGCCGAATGGTATCTGATACTGTGCTGGAAGAGGAACCTTTCTGTTGGAAGATACTCAGAATGCCAATGGCCAAAACAGTGGACAGAAGCAGACCGTCCTCATGAAGACTGGGCCACAGCATAGGGTCACCATGGGTCAGAGCTGATGCGATGGCAACTAACAGCAACAATGAAATGCTTAAAGACCAGAGAACATTGGAACAACCCAGAAATCTAAATACATTACCTTGTATACTCAAGTATAAGCCAACCTGAATATCCGCCAAGGCACCTGATTTAACCACAAGGACTGCATTAAAAATGTGCTGAGAAACTCGGCCTATACTTGAGTATACAGGGTAATGTCTAATTAAACTTCTATAAAGCCTTGTTAACTGATGGCTTTGGTATTCATAAAAATTTAATGACATTTCAAAACCTTCTGAGGATTCGCTTTTCTCGCTTCAAGAGAATCCCTAAGTAAGCATGAAGCTGGCTGAGAAATCACAGCCGATTATAAAGTGAATCTGTTGAGAGACAAATATTTCCAAAGTAAAATGATAATGATCCTTCTCATTGTTCTAGGGGAGGGGGGAAAATGCTCCGAGTGGGATGTAGGCGTGTTTTAATAGGTCTAGTGCTGGACAGGCTGTGATCTCAAAATGTAGGCGTTCCTTAGGGACCCGACAAAGATCCTTAAAAGTCCCAAGGGATGTGGAAGGAGGCAAAATTCCAAGAAGCTTTATTCCCTCTCAGGGTGGGACCAGATACAAAACCCATGTCCTGTGGACCGGTTGAGGCTCATCTGGGGTTGGCGATAGGGAAAGGGAGGAGGGGAGCTGGGTGAACCTTCCAAACAGGGAAAGTGTCTCTTCCCAAGAGTGGGACCAAAAAGCCAGGTGGCTGCAGACGATGAGATCGAGTGTAAGGCAAGCCACAGGGAATAGGGAAGAGAAGCCCCTCAAATCTAGAGAGGAAGAAGGTGGGAAGTGATTCCCCCCACTGTCTCCAGTCCTAGAGAAGAGGGAGCCCAAGGGCTCTCCAGACCCGTCAGCTCAGATTGGGTAGGACCAGAATTAGAAATGTGTGGCTGTTACAGGCGTTCATCTACGAAGCCCTGGCTCGCGTAATTTCTACCGCGTGAAAGTAGGAGAAGCTCCTGTCACTTCTCAGGAATTTCTGCAGAAACTGATGTAGAAGCACGGAAGCTTTACCCAGAGCAGAGCAAAATGTTGCCTGGTCCGACACCCCTTTCACGGTCCTTGGTTTGCCTGGGTCCCATGATCCAGCACTGTGTCAATCCATCTCATTGAGAGTCTCCCTAGTCTTCATGGACTCTCCGCTTGACCAATCGTGCTGCCCTTTCCTAGAAACTGGCCTTTCTTGACGACGGGTCCAAAGGAGGGGAGCTAAGCCTTGTCGCCTTTGCTTCTAAGGCACATTCTGGTTGCATTTCTTCTAAGACTCTTTTGTTCATTCTTCTGCAAGCCCACAGTCTCCCCAATAGTCTTTGCCATCCTTCTCGTGCTCCATTTACATTGTCCAGAAATACCACAAGGGGTTGGTTTTCACAAACAGAAATCTATTTTCTCAAAGTTTGGGAGTTTGGAAGTCTGACTTCAGGGTGCCGGCTCTAAGGGCAGGTCTTCATTGCCGGTCAACATGGGAGGGCCTGGCAGTCTTTGGAGACCTCCATCTGTCTGGGCATCAGTCTTCCCTGGGGTCTAGGAGGTTCTTAGCACAGGGACCCCAGGGTATGGGCTACTCCTGGTAGTATGGCGCTGTTTGATGACAGACTCAAGATCTCCAAGGGGTCCAATTTATCCCAGGTTCCATGTCGTATGAGGTCCTAATCACCCCCGTCTGCTGGACTGGAGGCATAGACTGGGCAGTCTGCAGGAGGGGAGCCAATACTCACACACCAGGAGCAAGGTCTTGAATCCTGTCCAAGGGGGCCACCCCCACCACCCCCACCAAACCACCTGTCTTAGCACACCTGGTGTAAAGACAAGAGAGTGTCAAGGTGAGATGTCTGCCATTCCGGTAAAAGCGCCTGTAACTGGGATGTGACGTGGATTCGCACCTGTCTTTTACCTGAAGTCTTAACTGCTGAGGACCCACAGTTGTCACAGACTCGGGACACCTCGAGGGAGACCTGCAACAGAGAGTAATCCAGGCAGCACGTCTTACAAATGAAAATCAAACTCACCGCCAGCCTGTCAGTTCTGACGCATAGTCACCCTCTACGACCGGGGAGAGCTGCGCCCGTGAGTTTCCGATGCTGTAATTATTTAAGCCAGTAGAAAACCCCATCTTTCTCCCTACAAACAAAAGGCGCTCAGAAAACATCTGCCCAGTACCATTGAGAAATGGAACCCTGCAAACTGCCGCGTCCTTCTGCTCTCACTGATGGAGTTGACATCAGCTGTCGTCAACTTGAGCCTTAAGAGGGGAGGGGTGGATCTAGCCTGTCAGTCAGGTCGCAGCTTGATGACCTCATTTGGAGGCGCTATGAAGGTAAAGAGCTCACTGGAGGCGGGACACAAGCTCACTCCCTGAGAAACATGCTTGCTGCCAAGACACATGGAGCTGCGCTCGAGTGTGAGAGCTGGAGAAGCCACATGGAGACTCACGCCAGTGCTGAGATGCCTCTACTGCCACTAGATCCACAAGACTTTCCACACACTGGCCTGTGATCTTCCCGCATTCGGCATCCTTGCTTGTATTTCATGAGTCTGAAAAGGACTTTATAGATTGGTATCAGACAGATGGGCTAATATCAGACTTATGGGCTTGATCTGGACTGGGCTGGGATGTTTTTCTCAATATTCAATTGCTCTTGTATATAAAGCTCATTCTTATACATATAAGTGTCTATGCATTTGTTTCTCTAGTCTACCCAGACTAACACAACCTATCAGTGTGATTTTCTAGAAACTTGGTTAACAAAGAAATTTCAAATATATGGGGGGAAAGAAGTGTTTCACCCTAACACCCAGCATCGATACTCATAGCCGCCTTATAGGACAGGTTAAAATGGCGCCTTTGGGTTGCTGTGACTTCCCATCTTTACAGGAGCGCACAGCCTCATTTTCCTTCTGCAGAGCAACTAGTGGGTTCGAGTCACTGACCTTGTGGCTAGCAGCACAGTGCACAGTCCACTACGCCACCAAGGCTCTCTAGAGGTTGGGGTCAACTTGATAGCAATGAGTTAGAATAACTACTCACAACAAAACCAGCAACTCAAACAAAACTCACCTCCACAACCGATTTCAACCCCTAGCAACCTAATAGGACAGAGTAGAACAGCCTCCATGGGTTGCCAGGATGGAAACTTCTATGGGAGCCTCATCTTTCTCCCATCGAGTGGTTGGTGGTTTCAAACTGCTGACCTTGTGGTTAGCAGCACAGCGCACAACCCACTGTGCCACCAGGGCTCCTCTCACCAGCAGCTGGTTGCAGTCCTAAGTCTCCAACTCATGGCGACCACAGTCGAACTGCGTTCTATGCATTTCCAAAGGACCATTTTATCAGAAGCT